CACCAGAACCAAGTTAAAAAAATTCATTTTCCAAATTGGCCCTAACGGGAGCCGAACTCGGAAGAAAGAGCCACGGAATTCACTCTGGGGGCACTATCGTAAAACACACAGACAAAAACCTTTTAGAAAAGTTCGTGTAAATGATTTGTCTATGTCTCAGGGTGAATGGTATAGTGCCAGTGGCATTCAGATTTTTACAATTTAAAGGTCAAAGTTTTCACTGGAACTGCTGTGGACAGGTTTGCCACTTACCACAGGCGCACGACAGGTTTGTCACGTCGTTTGGTATCATGAAAAAACGCATGGCTAATAGTGTTTAGTCAATTTGACAATTTCAGGTATTGAATGTCAAAGTACTACCAAAAATGTATCTCTCGCCATCTTCTTCTGCAATTCCTAACCGAACGGGTTGGCGGAGAAGGGCTCCGTGTGACATAGACGTACAAGGCTACCAATGTTGAAGCAAAGTTGCGATATGAAGCCGGTGATTCCCACACGTGTCTGCAAATTTACGAGCTGGGATTAATTACGGTATAACGCGCCCTGATGGGCGGCGGGCGGGCGGGTCGCCTCGTCGTGCTCGACGCCGCCGTCGCCACGCTACAAACAAAATCATTGCACATGTCTAAACGGATTAGAGGGTTCGCGTAGGTTTCGAGATTGCATAAGAATCCACTTGTAATTGAACCTTGTAAATCAAATTCGTTTGTTGGATTCTTAGGTTTTTGCGATTGTTACACATGGGAAATTAAGCTATCTTTAACCGATTTCAAAACGTGAGTAGGTTTTCAATTCGACTGTATTTTTTTATGTGTACGATTTGTGACCTGATTTTAAAAGATGTTGTGATTATTTTGGATCTATTTCGCAGTTAGGTGGCGTATTTTTTTTAAAGGTTTGTTTAAAAAAAACAAAATATGCGCGATTTAGATCCGAAAAAATAGTTTCATTTCATCTAACAAATTGGTTTATCCAAAAAGTTAAACACGGTGAAAACATTTTTTTTCGACTCTATGGAAATGTATTGAAAGAAACTTCCAGTAATAAGTTCGAAGAAATTAATTTTTAACGCTAGTGTCACTCACGTGTACATCCATGAAAGTGTTTTTTTATCACAAATTTATTTGAGAAGCAGTGTTCACGCTTTTACAGTAAAGTACCGGTTGATATTCAAAATTTGCCATTTACAATGTTTAAAACTACAGTGAAACAAAAATTGTATACAGTACGTTATTCCTACAATACACATTCTGCGTACTTGGATGATAAAAATCCATAGTAGTGAGTCGTTTATTTTTTTTTGAAGTTGTTTGTGTAATATATCTATAATGTGATATTTGAAATAAATATTGCAAATGATAAACGTGTACAAAATGTTTATTTATAAAGAGAAACCCCGAGAGTTTCTTTATTATTATTTTGGATATCTATTTTAGACTTCCGCCTCTGGCATTATTTTCATTATTTATTTTACACTCTCGTCTCTCACATGACTTAATAGATACATTTTGATTTATTATTGTTATTAGTATCTAATATATTATACATCCCATTCCAGAGCATGGGTCTCCTTTCAGACGAGGATTTAGGTCATGATCCGCCACACCGGTCCAATGCGAGGGAACTTCATACGTTTTCCGAGAGTTGTGAATCTTCTTCGACGTGCAGGGTTCACCACGATGTTTTCCTCATTCACAAATTTCGTATATAAATTCCGAGAAACTTAATGGTGCGAGACCGAGTTCGAACGCACGGCCTCTGCTTGAGACGTAGTAGGTTATTAGGCTGTCACGTCTAAAGAATGCATCAAAGTAGAGCATACAAATCGACCGAAGATAACTCAAACACGTGAGCCAAAACATCAATTTGTCGATCTCGCCTCGATAGGTAGATATTACTTTGAGAAATCCAATGTTCGGAATGCATTCTCGATATGAATTCCGTTAAATGCAGTCGGTCCGTGCTGCGTCCCGGTTTACTTGTTTCAGCAGGTTGGTTAAATTGCCTTTATACACTCCAAGCGCTAGCTCGTGCGTTTGGCTTGCCTGGCACCTCAGTTGTCCACTCACTTGAACAATCAGCCAACTGCCAAATGTTTTTCATACTTCTATGAAATTCACTGAAATGGAATTCCGATTACTTGGCTTGGATTTTTTAGAGTTCACTTGTAACCAGCCAGTTTTATTCAACTAAAGTCATTACGAATTTTCTTTTAATATAAAAGTTTTTGTTGATTTCTTTTTGACTATTTATTTTGTCAATAATTTGCACACTGACTCAATGTGTATTGGAATATTTGTTTAAAAACAGTGTAAACTAAAGAAATAAAATAAATTTTATAATAGTTTCTCTCAACGAATTAAATAAATAAATCCCATTTCCCACGAGTTTATTTTTACTTCGCAGATGTGTTGAACATTCTGCCTTTATTCATACCCGAGCTAAATAAAACATCGTCCTTTTGACTAATCTATTGGCAACTGCCCTTCCTAAAAGCTTCCTCCAGTACCTACGTATAATAACAAGTATCTGGAAAGTTTATGAGCGTTAAATTATGAGTTTAAAATTTACCTCGAAGGAAAATATTTTTATGGCCTTATTAAAATGAAGACTTCCTTCTGAAAGAGTTCGTTCGACATTACAACCGGGCCGTGACTTTACAAATGGATATCCCGAAGGAAAGCTTCACCGAAATCGGTAGTAAACGAAGATAAATTGCTGAATTCAACACGGATTTAATTACATTTTGCTTTGAGCTTAAACTGGATTAATTTGAGACTCTTCGGAAAGATCGGGCTGGGCCGGTGTGTGTTTCATCCAAGGGATGTACCACGGTGGACAGTAATGGCTGTGTATAAATGCCAGGCACGCCGCGACCGGTGCGCGGCCGAGGTCCCGGTCACGGCCTTCGCCGTATGTTACACGTAACAATGCCGGAGGTTCCCAGTAAAGACACAAGCGTCTGACATAGTTTAAAAAGGCAGTTTAGCTACATTTCAACTAGCCACTGTCACGACTGTTTTAAAGTCGTAAAATAATCCCACTGTATCGTATATAATACTTATGTTATTCAATTCTGTGTAATTAAATTTCTAGCACTCCGAATTCATACATTTATACATTGGAAACGTGACTATTTTTTCAGATTATTACAAGGTGGTGATGAAATTACCGGCACATGGGACTAGTCAACTTATCTCTCAAGGTGACGGGCGCAATGGCAGTGCCCCTCAGATCTTTGTGTTTTAAACTGTTATGGAAAGGCGTGTAGCTTACCACCAGGCGCACGATTTGTTCGTCCCGTTACTTGATATTGTAAAAGAAACCTTTAACGGTAGGGGTATAAATGTGACCAACCGTTTTGAGGGAGCTCAAATAACTAAAAAATATTAGCGCCTCTGTGGCCGAACGGTTACCATGCTGATCAACCACGCAAATATCCGGGCCGAGAGAAATATTTGTGTGGCCTACATTTTTTTCTTGTGGTTTGGGTGCAATTTTGGTTCTCTATGTGTGTGTCCATGGCACCCGCAGTACAGCATTTCCTAGTGCGGGGTTATAAGTGTGTGCGTTATGATTATTATTATTTCCGAGGTGTGGCCTTATTACTCTTTCCTTTACGGAACGTGTATTACGTTAAAAAACCTTTCCCAATCTATAACTATTAGTTATTGACGCCTTGATTAATTCATTTTCGTATCGCGTTATGTGAAGGTTTTACTTCTGATCCGTCATCGTTCATCACTCGTTTATCGTTCGAGCGTTATCTCTACTCAGACGTCTAATTACGAGTATATGCGTGAAACAGAACCTAATACGGCGTGCTACGCCGTAGCTACCAATAAAACCGATTAGAGTCGATCAATTCAGCTAATTGCAACACTTACCCGTTGCGATGCCACTTTCATTTATTCCCAGACCCTCGGCAATTGGAAATGGCACGAACCCCGAGCTCATCAAATGAAAATCGAATTGCTCATCCGTGACAAACGCGCAATTGTTAATACCGAGAAATATATTAATACATCGTATTATCCTTAAATCGTATCCTTGGAAAGCGATGCCTGATAATCAGTCGCTGTTTCGCATAAAAGATAGACAAAAATATTTCAGTTTAATTCCATTGAGACATTGTTACGTGATTCGTAGCTAATTTCGTAGCAGTTGTCTACGAAACGTCTACGAGCAAAAACGGTATGGAATTTCGTTTTGCTTCGGAATTTCGAATTCTCTTTTTTCGTATCGGATATTCGAAGGAACACGTCCCGATAAGTCACGAGGTTTAATAAAACAGTTTTTTTGGCCAGCCGGATGCTGTTTCCGTTGAAGATTTTAGAAAGTATTTTTAATAATAAACGTGGTATTTAATTTATATGATAAACTGGGGCGTATTATTTCCTTTTAATTAGATTTCGTGAATGATTCACGAATACTTGTCGAATATTTTCATCTTTTAGATATTAGATAATCTAGTTTGGGTACGTGTGTATATGTTTATTTTAGATAACGAACTTGGGTAAAACTAAACTAGGCACATTAAAAACAAATAGAAACTAGACGTAAGTATGTTAACGAGCGGTCTTGTAATAAATGATCCATTCAGAACTTTGCGATTGTACGCGGAAAATACCTCAAGGTTTGAATAAATATCAAAAGAGAGTTTGGATGCCTCCTCGAGTGATTTATGAGATCAGATTTGAAATACATAAGGAGGAGAGACAGCGCGGCGCCGCGGCAGGGGCTTGATACGGGCACAGCACACGCGTGAGCCCGACGATAAGCGCGAACATCCGCTTGGCTTTGGATTTATGTAAACCGAGGTGGGTCGAAAGTGGGTCGCGGCCGCCGAGGCGCTGATGCGGCTCCAGTCTATTTAAATTCCAAATGCTGCGCAAGTGCAAGCACGAATGCATTCGCATCGCGCTCGATGTAGGTCAGTGTAACCCGCGGCGTCGCGAGGCCGGAGCCGCTTTGCGCCGACTACTGTTTGTGGGACTTACGACATCGATGAGCTGGCTCAGCTTGAGTTTGATGCAGACGCGCAGCACATCGGTGGTGTTGACGACGGGCCGCACCAGCTTGTTGTAGTTGGAGAGTAGATCGTCGTAGAGCCTCTTGGCGTCGGGGTTGCCGGCGGTGGCGGCGCGGACCAGGCAGCATGCCGCCAGCCACCACACGAGCGCGCCCATCAGCTCCGCGTTGCCCCCATCGCGGTAAATCGGCGCGGCCGGCCCCCGCGCGGCGCGGCACTCACTGGCCTCTCTGCCGCCTCCGTCGCGCCCCCCGCACCCCGACCGCAACCCTCCAGCCTCCTCCCGCTCACACGATACTCTCTTACACAAGAATACCCGCTGGGTGCGGAGGTCCAACGTCGCTCTTTTGTTTATTGCAAAACTTCTTTACTTAGGTCAATTGCAAAATTCATTAAGTAAATTGTAGACTTGGTGCATGCATATTGTCACTGTACCTTACATTGTTGTGAATTTTAAAACCTACTACCTGCAATTATTTTAAAGCAGAAATCATTAACATTGGTAATTTACTAACCGTATATATAAACAGTCAATAGACTGTTTTGCGGGATCGTACGAGTGCGGTTTCTTCATCGAAAATGTAGTTAAACCTGCTCGAGTTAACTTTACTTGCATTAGTTACTATCAAAGAATTTGTGATTAATTGTAAGTGACAGTAAACACAATAATCGCTTTAGATATCGCGGGGTGACAGTATACAAGTGAAAGCGGCCGCGGCCGTGGGGCGCCATTCGCGACACGTCGGACCGGGACATTAATGGCCATTGGAACATTGCTGCGGATTCCGCTGAGTCGGAGTCGTACAGTCGAGCGTCTCTATGCGCACCATCACATGATATCTACATAAAAATTGTAAAAAAACAATACTGTACGAAGAATACAAGTTTATTTCTGACGGGTCTGCTGAGTTAACAATTTAGTTTAACAGTCTATATATCTGAGAAGAAATGACACCATTTTGGTGCCTGTAGCACATGGGACTTATTAGCTTATATCTCAGGGTGACGTGAGCAGTCGCAATGCACCGGTCTTTGTGGTTTAAAGCTCTGATGCAACTGTTATGGTCCTTACCACCATTCCCACGACGAGTTCGTCCCGTCACTTGATATATAAAAACAAACTATGAAATATTCATTATCGCACACATCATCATCGTTAAGTATACGTGCTACAGCTGGGAACAGGTCTCTTCTAATGGGAGGGTGCAGGTCACAGTCCGCCACGTTGTTGGTCAACGATCAGGTTTCTTTATCATTACCGAGACATATTGGTACTGAATACAAATACATTACAAATATTCTTTATTGCACACGGAAAATACAAGAAAGTAAAAATAACAATACAAAAAAGTTAAAATGGCAGATACAACAGAGGGCCTTATTGCTAAATAGCAATCTCTTCCAGGCAACCTGGGTTACAGGAAAAACTGTAAGATAAAATTATTTGAGGGCACACATAATGCACATACACAAATGAAGAAGAAAATAATAATAATAATAGTAATAGTAAAACACTAAATAAATATAATTATAGAAGAATATTAATTAGTTATACTAAACATACACATATGTACGTACCTTAAGAAATTAATGTCAATAGTTAGATGCCGCCACAGGGATTAGAACCATCGACCTCTCTATTGAGAAGCAACCATCCTTCCACTAGGCCACTACCGCCCTACCGCTGTTGTAGCGCTGCTGTAAAATATTCCATAACATTAAAGCATAAAGAAGTGGGCGTTTGTACAAATAACAAAATATGTTTCATATAAGACTTAGCAATGACGATCGCACGGAGACGTCTAGAAACTTTTTTATAATTTTTAAAGTGGCGGGACGAACAAGTCATGTGTCTGGTGGTAAGCGACACGCCTGTCTATGAGCTTTATATACACACAGAGCTTTAAATCGCAAAGATCTGACGCACTACCGCTGCACCTGTCACCCTGTGACATTAGTTGACAAATCCCATGTGCCTGTAATTTGTACAAATACAATTTCAAAGTGTTGTTTCAATTCATAATGAAATCAGAAGATACCGGTACTGGAACTGGCGCCCGGAACATAATTAAACAAACTTCGTTCCATAAAAAAAATCAAAAACTGCCTCAAAATTACCATTTCTTACAACGTTCATCCACGGAAAAATTAGTTTGTTATTGAAGATATTTCCATCAAATTTTCTCTTTCGTGTTCCGGAATAAATACATCAGGGGAATATGAGCTTATTTTACACTAAGATAATAATACATTTTATGTCTATAAGGCAAATGCTTAATAAATAATAAACCCATTAAAGGGTTTTTGAAAGGAAAATCTAAATGTACATATGTGTCTAATTGTAAATTGAATAACAAAGAAAAAAAAAAAAATTACTGAATTTCTCCGTGCCTACATCACATTGTTCAAAGCCTACTCAACCACGATACCATTCGCCTCAAAGTGCTATTTTAATAATTGATCGCACCTTTTTACCGATTACATTTTATCGCATGAAATTAACCCAACGCAAAAGTTCATCATTTTGGGGATACGCAAAATAAGGTTTGATGTTGTGACATTATTAGATTATTTAGTTTACTATTTTAGGAGTATTAATGGTCTTGTTAGTCCAAGAAAATAATGATAAAACATGCAACTTTATATCCTCAAAAGTGATACCTGATTATTTTAATATTAAAAAATTGAAAAATATAATTCACAAAAACTAGCTAACACTACATAATGCGTCAGTTCCAAATTACCAACCTTTAAAACAATGTTTTTAAAGTCTTTTTACAGTATAAACTCATTTTCTTTTTTTAGGTTACTTTCATTCATTTAAAAAAATTTTGTAACAAAGATATAGATTGGCTGATATTGCTACTGCACCCGTCACCCTGAGATATAAGTTGAAAAGTCTCAGGAGCCTGTAACGTGTAACGTTGTAAATTAATAATATTTTATTTGCTTTATTTATTGTAAAAAAAATGTATTTGGAACAGTCCCGTGTCCAGCAGTGGAACGTATAGTTAGGTATATCGATCGAGGAATGCGCGCGAGCCATTTTTTATAGGCGAAAATTGATTCGGTTCCTCGCCCCCCTTGGGATATCTGGCAAGCTGCTGTCCCGCTACCGCTTGGACGACGACGCACTCCGAAATCTATCTTAGCGAGAGACGCACGCGCATTTCTCTAATGATAGCGTTTTCCTATGCGATCTCCGCGAAGTACGTTTATTGTAATTTAAAGTAATTAAATCTTTAGTGTTTTTAAACCCACTTGTTTGGTAAGTGTTGAACGCGTAATTTTCTTTTGCCTATTATGCTTTCTAGTAACGCTTATTTAAATTGTAGTCGTAACGGTTTTTTTTTATTTTGTAATGTTTGTCTATTTTTGTAATTTGAAATGTTTTGTGTAGTTTTGTAAAATCCATATTAACTCCGTTCTGATTGTGACAATCACGCAACACTGCATACGTAATATGGTGCTTTTCCCACTTCTTTGTTCATTGCCGTTGTCACAGTCAGGGGAGCAAACCGTGGACTATTACTAACTGGACCAATGGGTATTCCAGGGTCCGAGGTTCCCGGTAGTTTAGTACCATTCTCCGCGTCGGCTGGCCTGAGTCCAGAGATCGACACGGACGCTTATTCGGCGGACGGCTGTCAACCCGCACCCCGGACTTCATTTCGGCGGACGGATCCTGTCCGTCAGTACCAGCTGCTGGTCGTAGGAAGGCGAAAAGTGCAGTGAATAACCGTTGGGTTTTAAACGAACCGCGCCCAAATAAATTTGTTTACAAGGGTAGTTCTATAACTGTTCCCTGTAACAACCGGACCGCAGCAATGCTTACATTACTGCTTGCCGTCAGAAATAGCTAAGGTGGCAGTACTTCCCTGGACGAACTCTTTCACAAGGAGCTCCACTGCTACTAAAATTTCTTATCAGATTAGATAATTTTATGAAACAATGAATTTTGTTCTTGATCGTAAATATGTCATGAATTTAAAAAATACAGTTTTTATAGAAGCTAATGAATGTATTATTGTGCACTTCACATATTATGTACATTTCGATGTACACGGGAACTTAAGAGAATAAACCTTTCTTTGCCCAGCTGAAGCCGATCCAGTGTTAATAAGTGTGATAATGTCTTCAGTCTCTATAAATACGCAAGTCGATAAGTCGATACTGCATTCTCGCCGCATCATTAAGACTGCACACGTTACAAAGGACAAACAAGTTTTCAATTCTTTATAGGCAAATATTGTAACACGAAATGTTTACACGAATAAATTATATACATGCGTACATATCATCACGCCAGTCTCCTACCGAGGTAGGCAGAGACCCCGGACCTCCACCTGCTACCCTCCTGACAAACTTCCTTCGCCTGCTCCACTCCCCTCAGTTTCTCCAAACGTACTCGTTTATTCTTGGTACTTTTAACGCGGCTTTTTTTTCAATTCCCAACCTGATCGGGACTCTTGACTTAAAGTGTAACCTTTTCGAAAATTCTGTTACTGTATTTAAGTGTTAAACGTGTACATAACATATCCCAGTACTACGAGCACCAGAGAAACTAAATTCACTCCGAAGTACCCAAAGCACCCAAACTCAAGTTGGTTCAACAGGAAATCTAACCAGAGACTTCCTCATCTAACGCCCACGGATTAATAATTGGCCACCGAGATCGTGAAAAACCGTCAGAATATAATAAAAATTTAATGAACGACAAAGATATGTTATTAAAATGTGAATTCAACTCGTTACTTCAGACGTTAAATAAATTTTTGCGCATAACAGCTCATCACTAATCTGGGCAGCTGTCCGAGCTTAATAACAGCCTACTGTAATGCGTGGTGCGGGAGGCTCTATTTTTTATCATTTGCAACACTCGATGTAATACGACTGACATTATTACTCGACAGGATGCAAGTCAATTTACACTATGTATTTAGGACGATATGTGTGGTCGAGTGGCAGGCACACCGGTTTTCACGGTGTCGCCTTCTATGAGGTCCCGGGCTCGATTTTCTACAAAGGCTCTAGAAAACTAACTTTTCTATATTGTCTCCGGTCTGTTCCCGATTTCCATAACACAAATAACTAAAGGTTACATTAAAGTATACATTGGGATCAAAGCAACGTACGTGATGTTGTCTAATATTCATTTATAAAAAAACCAAAACTTTATGAAGTAAAAAAAATCTTAGAAACATATATTCTTT